TTTCTCCATTTACCAGTTGAAGAACATCTGAATTCTCCCAGTTTTTGGCTATAATGAGTATCACTGCTATAAATAACTCACACCCAAGTGAGTGGACAGATATGTTCGCATCTCTTTTTGGACCGATTCTTAAGAATGGGATTTTGTTGGCTGATTTTAAGCATTCATGGAGGTGCAAAGTGGTATCTCATTGTGGGTCTCTCGAGACTATTGGTTCCAAGCATCTTTTCAGTGCTCAGTTATTATTCATGTATCTTCTTTGGCAAAGGGTATTGTTTCTGGGATCCCACGTTTGGTGACTCTCTTGAAGGACTCACAGGGCTCAGGGGCAGCTATCCTCACGGCAGTGGCTCATTCCAGTGCAAGGACGCATGGCAGGACTAGCCAGGGGAAAAGACACATCCGGGAGAGTCTGAGGGAGTCCAGGTGAAGGCTTCCAAAGTTCTCCTCCTGCGGTGGGGGCCACACAGAACACACTTCTTCTTCCCCCAGTGAAAGGCAGCAACAGCGTGCAGTGTTTCTGCCCAGGGCAGTCTGTTTGAGACTCTGAATCCAAGGGTTTTATTGTGGGCTAGTGACGTAGGCCCTGTGCCTGCAAGACCAGCTATGATTTCTGAACTTCCAAGTTCGTAGGACAGCAGGTGTTCACTGCAAGTCACATTGTACCAGCCTAGGCAGGCTGGGGCAGCAGGACTCCGTGCCCCAGGTAGACAAAACAGCCTTATCAGTTAGAATCATAGGCACTATTCCAAAAGCCAGTTTCTCAGATTCCAGCCAAGGGCCAGCCTCAGGAGCAGGCCTTTCTCAATAGCTGTATCAGTCCTGCTGTGTTAACCTTCTCCTACACAGGTCTAGTTCAATCTTTGGATCATCTTTTAATCGGATTTTTAGTCTTTTTATTTTTGAATTGTTAGAGATCTTTACATAGTCTGGACATAAGTCATTTATTAGATACACATTTTGTAAATGTGTTCTTCAAGTCTGTGACTTGTCTTCCATTTTCTTAATGGTGTCGTGGGAGGAATTTGGGCAGGGAGGTATTATGATCAGATTTGTGCACAATCACAAAGCTGCTCTGCTTTGTAAGTGTGGGTTGGGGAGACCCATGACAGGAGTCTGGCTAAGAGATGATGGTGGTCCGGGCTGGGGGATATCAGGAGGGTTGGAGAGAAGAGGCTGCATGTGAGGAATGCATGGAAAGTAGGACTGACTGGATTTCACCAGAAGGAAAGCTGGGCTCTCCAACCTGTCCTCAGGACACCATATTCTTTTTGTTTTTAATACTGAAACTCCATTAAATTGTGGGATTTCAGCGTTCTGATAATTTGAGAAAGGCAGGATCCAATGAATACTAGGGTTCCTTCCAGATTTCACAGGCTCTGGTGCCATGAACAAGACTTTCTGGGGCTATTTTAACAATTCTAAAATCTTCTGAGGTGTGCGCCTACATGCATTATTATAGATTGTTTGTTAATCACACTCGTGTGTCTATAATGCTGAGCTCTGGTTCAAGAAAATAACTTCATGACTGAAATCGGGCACAGTCTGTGCATGGAGACCCTTGCCAAAAGTGAAGGCAGAAACACTGTTGGCAGACAGAGGGCAGGACTGAAGAAATTCATGTTGGTGTATTAACCCAATTACCAAACGTGCCTTGCAAGTCTGGTGCGCTATTGGTTTAAAATGGGATTTCGCATCATTCTGTCCCAAGTGACAGACAGTATCATAAGTGAAAAATTCTTTCCTCAGGCTGGGATGCAGAGCTTCTCATTTGGCCAGCATCTGCTAGCATGGGAGAACCTTTATTTAAGGCTGGAAATTCTATCTACCCAGGAGGCCAAAACACTGTTTCTCTGTTCTTGCAAAATAAACAAAACACCTTGGCACACTAGATGCAAAGAAGGCCTGAGGGAATGGAAAGGAATGTGAGACCAGGTATGCGGGGCAGTGTCAATGCAATAAATCAGGAGCACAGCGGTGATACCTGTTTTCCCTTCTGATACTAAAAAAAGAAGGCTACATGAATCAATGAGACAAAGTAAGAGTCCAGAAATTGAGAGAGATGTGTGTGTGTGTGTGTGTGTGTGTGTGTGTGTATGCGCTTACTTTATTATAAAGTAGGTTGTGTTGTGTTATTTTAGAAGCAAACAATGTAAAGGCTCAGCACTGGTGGGAGCCACATGATACAGCCATGCATCAGAAAGATGAGGGCATCTCCTGCAAGCCTAGTTGGGTGTGGTGTCCTGAACCTATGGGGAGGGGGGGACTGGGAGATGCTGGTGTTCCAGGATGGCTGCTATGAGGGGCACACTGCAATAGTGAACCCCTTCCTTAAGGAGCTGATGATGAATCCAGCTCATCATGCTGCTCCTTTTGCCCTCTTCTGCCTCAGGGCCTTTGCATATGTTGTTTATTCTGCCCCAAAGCCCAGCTGCCTCCATCCATCCCCACGTCTTGTGAATTCATCTTTCAGGTCTCACATCCATCCTCTCTTCCCTGCTCTCTATATTCTGTCATCAGGGAGAATCCCTGATGTTTTATGGAGTCTATGCTTTGTACAATTTTGAACGTGGCTTTTCAGAAAAGGAATAAAAATCATGAATGTGAACTTAGATACCCACATGATTAGGCACCCTCCCCTACCCCAGGGTGTTGAAAAGGCCACGGGCAAGTGAAGGTCTAGGGCTTCAGTTTCATTAACTTCATGGTGAACCTGGGCCTCTGGCTACAGGGCACGCTGTGTGTTGGCCTTCAGAACCCTCATCCCGGTCTGTAATCAGATGTTTGGTCATGGGAATATTTGATTCCCCTCCGCCTTTCCACAAGACTGTAAGCTTCACGAGAGGAGAGACAGTCTATTTTGTTCATCATTATATTCCTAGTGTTGTCTAGTGCTTGGTACATGAGAGGTGCACAAAAAATGATTCAAATACATGAACCCTGAATTTTGAATCACAAAAATTATAATCACAAGACTTCTAGCTTCCACTCCTTGAGTCTCTACTTGCCAGGCTGTGGATGTCAGTACGGAGGGCACAGGACATGCTGAAGTCTCAGCCTGTAAACACACGGGAGAGAAGCCCACTCTGGAGACTGGAGTTGGGGGTGCCTCTGAGTCAAGGGCGTGGCTTCTAATTCCCACCATCAGTAGCACTGCGTCCCCTAGAATAAACACGACTTCCTGAGTGATGGGAACACCTCTCAAACCAGTCCTTTGTAAGAAGGTAGCATTCTGAAGCTGCTCTCTGCTCAATTGCCCTGTTGAGAAATGCAGGAACCCCTCCTCATGTACATACCCCCACCCCCAGCCATATCCTTAAACCAGTGGGTCTCAACCAGGGTGACTATTTTGTGCCCCAGGGGGCATTTGGCAAAGTCTAGGGGGCATTTTTGTTGTTATATTTAGAGGTGGTGGTGGGTACTCCTAGCACCTAATGGAGAGAGGCTGGGGATGCTGTTCAGCATCCTAATTGCACAGGGAAACCCCTCACAGGAAAGGATGATCTGGCCCGGAATGTCAATATGGCTCAAGTTGAGAAACCCTGCTTCAAACCCACAGGATCCCTCACTACCCCCTTTTTCTGGATACTACAGCTGTGTTCTTTCTATACTCCATATAGAACAGTGGGAAAATGTTGCTCAGAGGGTAAGGTGGAAGATATTCACCAGAGTAAACGTGAGGCAATCATATATTTCAATCATATATTCAGTCTATTAAAAGTAAAGCTAATATTTATTGTAACAGGCACAGTTCTCGGCCCATACATGGAATGGCTTGGGAATTTTATTAAATTGCAGATTCTGAGTCAGTAGGTCTGGGTTGGAGCTGAGAGTCTGCATTTCTGTCCAGCTCCCAGAGGACGCAAACACTGCATCCTGCGACCGTGTTTGGGATAGCAAATTTCTTGGCACTTCGGATACATCAGCAAACAAAACAGAGACCCTCTGCCCTTGGAGAACTTCCAGTGTGGCCGGAAGTGAATTGGACCCAAAGAAGGGTGGGCAGGCTGAAGGGAGGCATTCAGAGCCTCAGGAGATCAGAGCTAGAAGAGAACTGTGAGACTCTCTAGTCAAACTGCCGCATTTCAGAGTTTCAGAAACCGAGACTTGCAGTAGGGAAGGGAGCTGGTCCAAATCACACAGCTTGCTGTGGACAAGGCTGTTTGATTCCTAGTCCCCTGCATTATCAAGGTTCGTAGAGACCCCTTGGGGTGCAGAGCACAGTCAGGGTGGGGAATGGCTAGCAGCATTAGAGGTTGCAGGGGTGGGGGCCTGGGGACCCCCGGTACTCTAGCCCCAGGAAATGCTGATTGCCTACTTTACTCCTGGCTATCAGGACACCCACAGGAACGCTGGGATATGTTTGGGGAGAGCAGATTCTTCTGGCTGGCCCTTTGTTTTTCTGCATGACTACATCTGCAGCAAGGATGAACCAGGGTAAAAGTATGGAGAAGTACATTCTGAATGCATTCGGTCATTCAGTGAGCAGGTGTAAAGAGTAAACTCGAACAGAATTAGGCCAATTAAAACCTCTTCTTGAGGAGGAGTGGAATGACAGATCATGAACACATGTGAAGCTCCTCTTTGTCATCCTTTAGGGCCCACCTGAACAGAGACCTCGGCCTAGAGCTTCAGATTAGAGCACTCTTTGCAGGGTGTTGAAAAGCAGCTGCTTCCTCCACTGCTAGTAGCTGGAAATAGAAACTTTTAAATTCCTGTCAGTTGTATTGGTACAGTAGCCAGTTTCACGGGGTAGCTAAAAAGAAGAGCAACAACTATACATAAGGCCTGGGTGGCTCAGTTGTTAAGCGTCTGCCTTCAGCTCAGGTCATGATCCCAGGGTCCTGGGATCGAGCCCCACATCGGGCTCCCTGGTCTGCGGGAAGCCTGCTTCTCCCTCTCCCACTCCCCCTGTTTGTGTTCCCTCTCTCGCTGTGTCTCTCTCTGTCAAATAAACAAAATCTTTAAATATATATATAACAAAGGAAGAAAAAAGAGACTTTTCATTAGTATTTTTTGATGTCAATTTATTATTTATCCCTTTGCCAATATTCAAACAGGCAGGCAGTCATAAAACGTTCAAAAAGATCCTCTAAAACAGCCAAGGCATCTGTTTTACCTCAGTTCCTTTTTAGAAACCTGGAAATCAGGAGCCCTGGCATTTATAAAAGAAGTCGTGTTAAAGATATCTGCCGTATCAAAAATATTGTTTGAGGGTCACTCCTTAGAAAGATTTTAGTTTAAATGGTATCTACAGCTTAGGCAGGCAGACGGTGGTTCTTGAGGGAAGATTCAATGTAAATCGGCAAAGAGCGGCTTCCAAATTTCTGACTCCTCAATTAGTATTATTCTGTTGGAACAAGGCGTTGACAAAGCCCACTGTTTGGTAATTAGCGTCCTGTCAAGTCTCTCTAATCAAGACCAGCATGCTGCACCTGGTCCTAGTTAGCAAACGTGTGTGGGCAGTTCTGATCTGACCCTCAGGGGCCCTGCCTGGCGCAGAACTGCCTTCAGTGCGTATGCCCCAGTCACCGGTTACCGAATAAGGAGGCCTCTGCGGCGACAGGTTCTGAGAGCTGTCCTCTAGTTCTAGTGACCTGCCACGCCCTTTTAACTGCTTTGACAGAGGCACTTGCTCCTTCTCCCAAAAGAAGCTCTCTCTTCCTGGGCCAGAAGACTCCTCTGAAATAAACTCATTGCCTTAAAAAAAAAAAAAAAAGCCAAAGACCTTAACTGCCCTTTCGTCAGGAGAAGCTCTGTGGAGGAGTGGCTAACTCTCCCTAGTCTGTCTTTCCTTCATTCCTCTGGGTGCTGCTGCCTTTCCAGGAACTGTCCCTGGTGTAGAGGTTGTGGTCCTTGATGTAGCTGATGACAGCGTCTGGGAGCAGGTACTTGACGCTGTGCCCCTGGCTCAGGGCCCGCCTGATGTACGTGGAGCTGAGCTCATTCTGCACGGGCTCCCTGACCAGGTGAATGTTGTGCTGGTAGCGGCGCAGGATGGGCGAGCCTGAGATGTATTCCTTTGGGTTGTGACCTGTCCGACTCACACACACCACGCCAAACTTCTCCACTATCTCCTGGATGTGTGCATCTTTCCAGAGGTTGGGGGTCTGGAAGGTCTTCAGGACATCTGCCCCGCAGAGGAGCTTCAGCTCGGGCACAGCTGGAAAAACAAGGGTGGAGCCCAACAAGGTTACAGAAGGGCCATGGCCAGTAAAGATAACATCATATTACGTTTGAAAATTGCACAAGATGCTTTTCTTGGAATGTAATGGGAACTCAATGTGTGTTCATGACTGCAAAAGAAAAAGCATGTAAGTGAATCTGAAGCTACTCCAGGGACATACAGTGGTAAGTAATAATTTAGTCAAGAAATCTTTTGTTTAATATTGGCAAAGTGCCAAGAAACACACAACAGCTTTGTTTGTTTGTTTCCAGTATTATACCAAAGTCTGTCTGCGGTGGCTGGACCCCATGGCAGAGTGGTCCAAAGGCGGCTGTGAACCCGTCTTCTGATAGAAGGTAAGGTTGTAAAATCCCTAGTACCAGCAAGCTGTGGGCCTCAGGCAAGTCACCGCCTTTCTCACAATCTATTTCAGCCCTAACACCTGGTTCTTCTATAAGTAAAATCTCAGCATAAAGGTTCTTTGGATAATCAACAGCTAGTGACCTTTTCATCTGTTTTCAACATAACAAAGCTCTAGAACAACTGATCAGTGTGGATAATCCTTTGGCATTTGTTCTAACAGAATGATGGCTGTGATGATAAAAGGATGCCTAACGTTTACTGGGTGCTCAATGTGAGCACCATCGCTCAGCGCTTTATGGGTTTAATCTCATTTGATCCTCAGAACAATTTCATGAGGTAGGTGTTACTGTTGTGCGGGGTCTCTGGAGCGGTCTGCGGAGAGGGATATCTGCCTAAGGTCACTGTCTAGGAGGAGGAGGCAGGATTCAAGCCAGCCAGCCAGCCACCAGGTGGGGCATTTGTAACTGCTGGGCTCTGCCGCCTCCTGCTGGTGGGCGATTGTATATTCATCAGAGCCCAGAAGCCCTTCCTGGATTTTCCTGGCACTCTTCAAGGTCCTGTCCCTTTGGAATGGGCTAATCTGGAAAGGAGAAACAGCAAGTTCATGCTAGAAGCAGCCACTAGGATCCCCGGTCCTTCTGGAAGCCGAGTCTAGCTCCAGTAAATGGCAAAGGCTGTGTTCCTACAGCGCTGGCAGCTCTCAGTCACCTTGAAACCTCAGCTGGGAGGAGTTTCAGGGATACCAGCTGCTGGGGAAAGAGCTGATGTAAATGGTCAGTGGAGCCTGTTCCTCTTCTGTGGAAACTTGGAAGGAATCTGGACATGGATCGGAGAGAGGAGTTTATAAAGGAGCACCAGACCGGCTGTGGAATGGAAAGTGAGAAACTGGAGGGGTCATGGGGAGGTCTAAATTCAGCCTCAGTCGGGCACGGGCTGCTGTGGGTCTGATCCATCCTTCTCTGGGCCTCAGTTTCCCCATCCATGAAACAGTGGGCACTGGACTTGTTTACTGATTTTTGAAGCAGCAGAGAAAATTACAGACTTTTCAAACACTCTAGCAGCATAATATTGGTATAATGAAATGATATCCAGACATTGATGCATGTATTCATGAACTGTCCATGGTTAAGAACTAGGACTTTAAAGCCCGACACCTTAGATTCAAATCCTGGCTCTGCCAATTCAACAGCTGTGTGACCTTAACTTTAAAATGAGCATATTGAGAGTACTTCTCTCATAGGATTATTTTATAATTGAATGAGCTTATAAGTATAAAGTACTTAGATCAGTGCTCGGAACAGAGTGTGATAGGTGTTAACTACCATCCATCCATCCACCCACCCATCTATCCATCCACCTACCCACCTACTTATCCACTAACCCATTCATTGACACATCTATTCAACACTTAGGGAGTATTTTTAAAGTCAATAAAACTGCGTTTAAAAATTATTCAATAACATACTTTTCACTACTTTGGGCTGGTCCCATTGCTCACAACATACGTGGAGTTGGACTATTTTGCATCTGTAAGGTTCTACTCCAGTATCTTATTTATTCAACCATTGTAAGATAGCAAGAAACCAGCTTTTGACCTTTTAAACTAATGGATGATTTTTATGTGCTCTTCCTATGGGGGAGGTTAAACAATGGGCATTTGATTGTAGGGTCTCCTGAGGCCTGGAGCACACCCTCCTCCCAAAGAGCAGAAGATACCCCCTTCCTCTCTCAGTGGATTTTTGTGTGGGCAGTTTCCACACAATGGCTTCAATATTAGACACTGTTTGATTTATTAACAGTGACAGGAATATAATTCACCGTGAGTTCTTGCCTACAGGGGACAAGTGCTCACACCTTCCCATCCCCCAAATCAAAGGCATGTCTGTGGGGTAATGACTTCTGGCAACACATGCCTTAGACTCCCACTCTGGGCGGTCCTCAGAGACCATTACATATCTCTTTCAGATCCATTCACATCACTGCTACAAACTCTTCACATTGGGTACTGACTGTCCAAGTCCGAGTACGTAAGTCTGAGGTGTTGAATAAAGGCTGCCGATTTGATTCGTCTTAACCACGATGTAGTGACATACATCAGATATCCATGGGCATTTTGGGGGGCAGTGTGCTTTCTTGGAATAGCCACAGGCTTTAAAAGCAGAGATTTACATGGAAAGTGAGGGAAGTGCCACCGGGACCTTTTTCTTTGGATGTCCAGCTGCCCTAACTCTTTATATCAAGAACACCCAGCCCTGAGGTCAGTCAGCCCTGGGTTCCAGTTTCAGAGCTGCTGGAAGCCTGGGAGAGTTCTAGCAGCCAGGCTGGCTTCCTCTGTTATATAATGGGGATGACCTCCTGTCGAAGTTCAGGAAACTGAGTGACAGACTGAATGCAATGTGAATTTGTGGCCATGAAAACACACTCAGGAGTGTGAGACTTCTGGGTGAACAGGACACCAGAGCTGAAGCCAGGTATTAAAGGGCGGCGCCCAGATTAACCAGACAAGGCCACCGTGGAACAGATCAGTGCAAGATGGAATCGGTGTGTGTGGGGGGCGGAGGGGGGGGTGCCTGCTCTGGTTGTGTGGAAAGGGAATCCTCGGAAGGCTGCTGAGCCGTGCTCAGCCTCATCAGTCAAGGGCAGGGACCACCTGCACAAAAGACACACACTGTCGGGCTGTTAGAGGGCCAACCGAGGCATCATCCATCCCAAAGTGTCACACCCAAGCAGCCCAGAACTGGGCTGTCTGCATGACTGGGTCAGTCCAAGGAGGACCACAAATCACGGGAGTGATGGGCAAAGCAGGGCTCTGGCTGCCAGAACATGCTGAGCTCAGCCCGTAATCTGCAGTCCCAGGGGAGACGAGTGAGCAACAAAATACACAGCACACAACAAGGTCCTTTACAAATACGTCACTGTAACATACAAGCCACCTGGTCAGAAGCCAGATTTATGCTGAGGAAGAACTCCGCTGTCTTCTTAATTGCTCTAGTGTTGTTATTTTTTTCTCTGATTACAAACGTGAAATCTGTGTCAATTATAAAATGTATGGAAAATACATATTTAAGGTAGAACACAATTCTGCTTTCTACAAAAACTCAATATTTTCATGTATTTTTTGTTTTTTTTTCTATTGATTTAGACATGCAAAAGATGTGCAAGTATATTTACATTTTTTTATCTACTTGACATTATATACACAGGCTCATATCCTGATTTTCTTCTACTTACCTCATAAGCCTTTCTCCAAAAACCTTTTGTCTCAATTATTCATACTATGTATACAGAATAATTTACTTAAACATTCCCTTATACTTTAAACATGGAGGTTGCTTTTATTTTCTGCTTAAAAACTGCTGTGATAAGCATCTTTCTACATAAATCTTTGTCCCAATTTCTAATTATTTCCACAGTCTGATTCCTAGAAGGGGAATATTTCAAGCAAAGGACATGAGCATTTTTAAAGCCCCTAATATATTTTGGTAAATTGAAAAGCCCACTTTTCATTCAACATAAACTCTCTATTTTAACAGCTACTTTAGGGGAGAACAAGATGAGCAGGACTCAGGGTCTGAGTAGCAAGAAAGGGGATAAAGAACAAACTCCCAACATTAAAGGGCCAAGCAGAGTAGCCCCTAGAAAAATAAATTTGAAAAGAATGTGGGTGAGCTTTGGCCAAGGGAGGGGAAGAGCCCATCTCCGTGAAAGCAGCTGGGACCAGTTTCACAGGAACATGGGTCCAACTTGGGCCCTAACAGGACAGATAGGTTTTCAAAAGGGGAGTCGAAGGGAAGGGGGGCGGGGAGGGACATCCAGGCAAAGAGCTGAGGCAGGGATTCTGGAAGCAGGTGCAGAGAGGGAAAGTATGAGAGGCTGGAAGCCTGTGTGTGCCATCCCGCCCGCATCACTAGAGGCTCCCTGCCTGTCACTGGAAGCTCCAGCATTCCCCAGCAGCAAGGAATGCCCAGCACCTATGCTGTTTCCTGCCTTTATGCCTTGCCCAGCACCTATGCTGTTTCCTGCCTTTGTGCCTTGCCCAGCTGCCCCTCTGCCCAGAAATTGCCCCTAATCCCAGATAAGGTACTCTGATCCTATGAGCCTTGGTACTAGTGTCTCCTCCTCCAGGAAGCCTTCCTAATCCATGCCTGGACTCCCCACCATTCACAGCCTGTCTCTAGCCTTGGGGCGGGGGCGGCGGGGGCGGGGCAGGCTATCTTTGTTTTCCACCTGAGTCCAGAGCCAGGCCTGGGGAGGTGATCATCGGTGTCTCTTTAACTCTGTAGTAGTTGCTGAGCCAGAGATGCTCCAGAAAGAAGGCAGAGGCTGAGAATGAAGGCTGCCTGTGCTCATGACTGGGAGATGGGGGGAGAGAGGCAGACAGACCAGAGGAATACAGCGAACGTTGTAAAGCTGATTATACAGGAGATGCTGTAACTCTTCCTTTCTTAGATTCCTACTCTAGTGCAGTTCCCCCAACTGGCTAGAAAGCAAATCCCAGCGTGCCTGTTAAATATCCAGATTCCCAGGCCCCATTCCCACTTAGAAGGTGTGGGGTGTGGCCTGGGAATTATTATACAGCTCACAGGTGATTCTGCCATGAGTGATCCTTTGACCAGCATTTGGGGACTGCTGCATGAAACCTTTAGGGCCTGGTGGCATTTTCGAGTTCTTTTAGAAGAGCGTCTATGTTCTGGGGGGGTGGGAGACTGTGTTCTAGGGGGCACCAATATGTGTTGAAAAGGGTCCCATGATTAAAAAGTGATAATGGCCACAAGCTAGTTCCCTTTCTTGGAGAGTCACAATGCACATGATCATAGTAAAGGCTCTGAAAAGTCCTGCAGGAAAGAAACCATTTTAGGTTGGTTTACCTGTGACATTCCTGAGCCCTTCTGATCTGGAACTGGTATCCCACCACCCACAGTTGGGAGACCGGCAGTAGGAAACCCCACAGATGGGCCTGCTGGATTTCAGCCCGGTGGGACCGGTGATTCTCAGACCATGTCACATCCTGCCTTTGCATCACCAGGGGCTCTGGTTTATTTGCATGAGGGGCCTATGCACTTGACCCCTAGTACCTGGGCTGCCATTAGAGAGGGAAGATACTTCGAAGCAACAACTTGTAAGATTCTACCAATACCAGGAGTTGACAACAGGGTAGAAACCCAGGGTTACAAATTGAAAGGACAAGTCCATATGGACTGAAATTCCCCTTGTTTTTGTTTTTGTTTGAGGGTCAGAGTGGCATATTTGTACTCAGAAAGGCTCAGGCTTTTAAAAGCACCCAGCATCACCCACCGGTTTATCCCTGTGAAGCCCTGACTGTAATCCCCGTCACAAGCACAAGTCACAAGAGTAGGTAAACCCCTTTGGAGCAGAAAATCCTAAATTAGCAACCCGATTTACAAGGGATGGTGGCGGATTGTTGAATTTGACCTTTCAACCTGGGAAGTGCCACCACCCCCAGGCAGGCCTCAGAATCCTTATCCGTGCTTGGGAGTGGGTCCCGTGAATCCTTGACCTCTCCCCATCCCAGGGACAAGAGGGTCCGCACCCACCTGTGGGGGCCACGGAGCAAGCCCTGCCGTGGTCCTGGCCTTCCGTCTGGGGCAGAGATCTGAGCAGTTCACTGTGATGATGCCTGCATTGCAAACACACGGGCTCAGGGTGTGTCCGTCCCCCCAAAGCCACCCGGGGGTCTCAGTTTTCAACTCTCCACCTGCTTTTGTCCGTTTTAGGTAGGTAGCTTGTTCCACAAATGTTTGTGGGGGGCCTATACTATGTGCTGGGGGCTGGGATGGAAAGCGGATGTGATAGGGTCCTCTTGGCCACCCACTGCCTTCCGTGAGCCCGGGTGGGAGGGGTAAATGAGCATGGTTTTACTTTTTTAACATTGTCTTTTAATACCTCACTTTAAAAAAAGTTGAGTAGAGATTAAGGACATGGGCTATGAGAATCAGACAGACCTGAGTTCAAAATAAAACCTTTCTTTTGTAAAGCCAGGATAATGCCTACCTTAGGTAAGTGAGTTACTACACAGGGCGTGGCCCACAGCTCACTAGTATTTCAGGACTCCACGGAGTGCAAACCAAGAGTCTGGGCTGAATCCTCGCTCCCCCACAGGCCAGCTAGGTGACCCCGGTGGGGGGGGGGAGGTCAACAGGTCTCTGTGCAGATGACTCAGCACCTGCGTCATGAGGAAGAGTGATCGTGCGTGCCTCTCAGAGTGGTCACGAGGACTGAAGGAGCTATGTATGCCAAGTGCACTGAACAGTGGGCAGGACGGAGTAAGTCTCATTTGGTGTTAGCATTTCAGATCTGGTTAGGCTTACACCATCTCCGCCTAGCTCCTTTAGCAATCAGTGTGCAAATCAAGACATACCTGATCCAACACAGGTAGTCCCGTCTTGTATCAGTGCAATCTTCCACCTTCCACCTACTGAATTGTACATCTACGAGGGCTGTGTTTGGGAGGAGGCAGTGCCTGGTAGGAAAAGCAGGTGCTTTGCAGCTAGACTCGGTGGGTTATGAGTTTAGGTTTTCTTGGCTGTATGACCTTGGAAGAGTCACTGACACTCTCAGAGCTTCACTGACCTCATCTGTTTATTGGTCATCGTGGAAGCTAATGCCGACCTCCCTGCCGAGCATCACCAGACCAGCAAAGCGCTTCTACCCTGCCAAATGCTGTGGCCCAGTGCTGATTATCACTGGGCGAAGGCAGAGTGTAAAGGTTAAGCTTTAGAATTGGACTGCGTGGTTGGAATTCTGCTTCCAGCTAGTAGCTGTGGAATGCTGGTGGGCTCCTTAAGCAATCTGCCTCCAGTTTCCTCATCTGTAGAATGGGGGATGACGACTGCACCCACCCCTTAAGCGCTGAGGATTCATGGAAAGGCCTCGCACTGGCCCATCCACAGAAAGGGCCCAATCAACATTAGCTGTTCTTCTGTGAACTGTGAGCTCATTTAATTCATCCTTATATGCTTAGCCCTCAGGAACTGCTTACCTTAAGTCAGCTGAATTCAGGAACAATGGAAGGAGTGGATGGATAAATACATTTAAAGTCTGGTCCAAAGTCCTTCCCGATGATCTCAGAGACTCAGCAGAGTCTTCTTAGGACCTAGCTGGACTCTGTGTTTCCATTATTGTCTGCTTTGGTTTTGGTAAGCTTCAAGTCTGAGGATTCGCTCCTGAGTTAGTCTGGAATCTCGCATCAGACTGAAGTAGGTGTTGAGTCTCACCTCTTATTTTCTAACTGTAGGACTCTGCGGATGTTACTGACCCTCTCAGAGCCTCCATTTCCCCATCTGTAAAATGGGACTAAACCCACCTACTTCTCAGAATTGCTGAGGTAACTAGATGTTACCTACCTAAAAAAGCCTGGCACAAACAGGTGATCAGTAAAGGTGGTGACTGTCATTTTATTTTACTTACCTTGAAGCTCCTACTTCAAGTTGACCCTACTTTGAATATTAGCTGGCGCTCTGAACTCTGATGTGTGAATAATTATTTTCCTCACTGACCTCCACTCGGCCTCTGTGGGGCAGGGGCCATGGCTTCCTCTTGTTGTCTGCCTGAGTGGCGCCCCAGTGTGCCTAGCCCTGGGCCTGAGGGCTGACCCTGGGAATGAGTTCTCTTGTCCTCCGCAGGCCCGCAAGTCTCCAGGGATGCCTGGTTAAAGGGTCACTGTGGCAGGTACAAAGCCCCACTGTGCCCCCCCCCCGCCCCCCCATAGATCACTGGTTTGAAAGGGACCATAAACATAGTTGTTTTGTGACTTTGATGAACTTAGCCTCTCCGAACCCGTTTCTTCATCTGTAAAAGGAGGACAGCCTAAGATCATGCTTGCAAAGGGGTACGTGAGACGACAATAGTGATGGTGATGATGATGGACCCCATCAAATGGCGCTGTGACTAATGGCCTCCCCCCACAGTGTGGGGAGAAGGTGAGCAAAATAAGTTATCAAACGTCCTAAAAGCATGAAAGCTGGCCTAGATTAAAAAAAAAAAATTAAGAGTAAAAATAAGCAACCTCATAAGGAGAAAAAGAATCCTCAATGAACCCTACTGTGAATTTACTTCATAGTGACATTTGTCATAGTGACACTGTTTGTCTCTATCAGGAAGATATTAAATGGAGCAAAGGGTGGGGTGGATTACTCCCATGCTTCTAAAATCACCTAACTTTACGATTATCAGATTTTCAATCTTAAATGCTTTTGGCAATTTTAGGAAAACATTAGCGATCAAATTTTCTAATTTTTTCTAAATATTGAAAAAATGGAATCACTTATCCAGCAAAACTGTGTTGTCTATTTGTATCAGTGGATTTTCAACCTTGGCTGCACAAAATAAATCATTTGGAAACCTTTAAAAAAATACCCATGCCTAGACCCCACCCGCAAATCATAATCTCTGAGGGCAGGTGGCAGGGGTGGCGGGGGAGGGAGATGGGCATTTTAAAAAAGCTTCCCATGTGATTCCTACAGCCAGGACCCACTGGTTTGGATGGATCTTGGTACTAATCATAAACCTGATTCACATACTTTGTGACTGAGGCTGTGGCCTCAGTCCTGGCCACGCATTAGAATCACCAGGAGGCTCTTAAAAATTCTGATGCCCCACTCCAGACCAACGACATCCCAGTCTCTGGGATGAGACTCAGGCTTCGGTACTTTTGAAAGCTCCCTAGATGATTCAGGGTGCAGCCAGGAATGAGAAGCACTGAACTTCTCACTGAACTCCTCAGAGAGGAAAAAAAGAAAGTGTTCAGTAAAATCTTAGCTCACACCTTCATCTTGCAACAGAAGCAGTGACAATATTATGTAGTTCTGTGGTCAGTTCCTTTTTATCCAGGAATGGCTTATCTGTTTTGAGGATAAATTATGGGCCAGTGTTAGGGATGCAGGGAAGGTAGCTAAGATTATGAAGCCCCTACCATAAACCAGGTATTTTGCACACATCACCCCATTTAATTCAGGCAGTACCCCAGAGAAGTAGGTGGCATCGTCCTCATTTTATTAGGTGAGGAATTGACGCTCCGAGAGGCTAACTCACTTACACCAAGTCAATGAGCTAGTAAACTGGGCTACAAAATCTGGGCCCTAGGCCACACTGCCTCTCACAGGGTGGAGGAGGAAAGCGTCTTTGTGACTACATGTTAAAGCTAAATGATTTGCTGGATTTGTGTGTCTTCCCCTCTGCTCTCCTTGATCGATGAGAGCTGGCTATATTGCTTGCTCTGAAGGGATGATCTAGGTGTACATTTATTCTTTATGTTAAAAAAAAGTGCATGGATTCTAACAATCATTTCATATTTGCTGCTCTTAATTTGGCGAGAGGCTCTGAAGTAGCACTGAATTGCTGAATGCTTCTAGGTGGTTCCTTCCCAAGAAAAGGGCAAATAATCAGAGCCAAGATATGTAACTAAATGTTTACCTTTACTACGAGAAAAAGGTAAACAGTTTTCAACCAAGTGACTGTGAAGATGAGTAAAAAATGAAAACCTAAATCGATGTATGATGAACAGGCCTGCCAATTATTGGACCTTGTCCCTTGGGCTTCCTGTGCCCTGACAATCCTACTGCTTCCAAATAGATAAAAGACACAAGCCCACAGTTTGCAATCCCTTCAGTGGAGCGACTTAGTGACAGGCAGCCCCACCTCCCCGTCCCCTCTGACCTCCAGGCTGGGCGGGGCTTCCCGCTTCTCCAGCAAACTCCCAGGACACTTTCCCAGACACAAGTCAGTGACCCACTGCCCCAGCATGCAGGGCTCCCAGGGCTTTTAAAAAAAGCGCCAATTACTTCTGCTGGGTGCTAACAGCAGTTCCAAAAGAAAAAGATCCTGAGCAACTTTCTAGATGTATAGCCTTTATTTTTTTTTTCAATTTTACATAAAAGTTGAGATTTATAGAGCCCAGGATTTATGCAGTTAGAAAAGATGGCTTATGATCTAGATGCAGTTTGCAACCTAGTCAATGACGACAATGATAGAGGGTCCCACTTAGTGAACGTCTTAGGAGTTCTGGAACAGGAAAGTTCTTTACATTTAAAAAGTCCTTATTAGGTTTTATTGTCCCCATTTTGCAAGTGAGAAATGTGTCTCAGAGAAGTAAGCGCCTAGTCTCACAGCTACTAGGTGGTTGCCCTGGCGCCCGAGGAGACAGCCCTCTGAAACAAGATGGGCGTTTCCAGAATGTGCTTCCCGAGGGGGAGTGGGTTGTGATTGTTTTCACTCAGGCCCTCTTTGAGAGTAGGTCTGTGGGTCTCTCTCCCTCTGAGAGGAAGCACTTCTGGGATTTGGGCTGAGAAAGACTGGCTGAAGCCCCACTTCATACCTGGTCCCTACTTTCACCCGCTGGGCTCTGCAGATGTGTCCCGTGACCCCTGGTCATCACACAAAAGCATAACCACTGTTACCTCAGCACCTTCACTGTCTCCATCCACTGCACCTGCTCACTCTCCCAGGGGTCCACCTGGACCCAGTCGGACGTCTGCAGGGCCAGCCGGGCCATGGCCACCCGGTGGTGGGCAGCCACGAGGTCTTGCTTCCTGTAGCCGTCATTGACAGGAGAGATGATACCCCCGATCACCTGGTACATTCCTAGGCAAGGGAGAGCAGTGGTGTGTGGTATGTGCCAGCGCTGAGTACCTGGCCGCCTGAATCCAGGCAGGTGCGAAACTCTCTGGGCCTCATCCTGAGTGGGATCAGACTCGGGCATTCTCTCCTGCTGGGCCAGCTCCCTCAGGCAAGGGTAAATGCTGCCCCGGGGGCCACGTGCTTCTCCAGTTGACCCCGAGTCATACTTCTCCTGAACGGAGCAAGGCTGTGAGGATGTGGCCAGACAAGGTGCCCAGATAGCAGTGTGGACAGTTAGGGTCAGAATATGGTGGAGGCACATCATGACCTCCTCCTGCATAGGACTTAACAGAGGCACTATCCTCCTCTAACCATGTATGGGACAACAGTGACGTGCAGTTTCGTATGCCCAAATAGGGGGTCTTGTGAATCAAAGATGAGGGGATGGGATGGAGCGTGGACCAGGTAGGTGGGAGGTGGGAAGGAGATGGGAAGTGGTGGGTCTAGGAGGAATGGGAAGGCCTACTTTGGGAAAGATGTGGGTTGGGCTGGTAAGTGATGCGGTATGGCTCAGGGACTGGAGAATGGAACACTTTTAAGTTCAGAGCTATAGTGACACCGTGGAAGCTACAGAGAAACAACACGTAAAGAGTCTGAACAGGACCCCAAAAGCCTTGGGTGGGGGCTCCAGCTCCATCACTCCCTAGTGCACCCTCAGCAATTATCAACCTATCTGGAAAAATAAAATACTTAGTCATTTGAACTTGAGTTTTCCTGTATGTGAAATGGGATCATACCTGCTTGGCAGGACCTTGTGCTAAGGAGAGCTATTAGGGAATCCTTATGTAGTGGGATTATATTTTATTTAGGATGTGATATATTTTTAAAAATTGTATTATAAATATAACATGCACATAAAAGAACCCAGAACACATATGGGTTGACAGAGTTATAAAGTATATCCTGCTTTCATCATCACCTAGCTTAAGATACAAGCACTTCGGGCACACCAGATGTTCCTACCACAAGCCTCACTCGGACTTTTATAATATTCTCTTTCCTTTATAGCTTTACCATGTATTTATGTAGCCTTAAAAAACATATTCATTTGCCTTCTGAAACTTTTATAAATGGAATCAGACTGAATATATTCTTTTGTTCAGCCTTTTTCACTTTACATAAATAAAATTCATGTAATCCAACCAGTTTTATTGCTGCATAACCTTCCATTGTGAGATTATATACTAAATAATTGATCTCTTTTACTGTTGATGGACTTGGTTTGAGTCTGGTTTTGGACAATTACAAACTGCGCTGCTATAGACATCCTTCCACAAGTCTCCTGTGCACACACACGCCGGCATGCATTTCTTAGGACACACATCCAAGAGTGGACCTGCTGAGTCATAGGGCAGGTGTGTCTGCACCTTTACTAGATAATGCCAGACCGTTTTCCAAAGTGGTTGTAGCTATTTACTCTCCAACCAGCCGTGTAGGAGAATTTTATTTGCTCCACGCCATGCCACACGAGGTTATGATCAGGGTCTTCCCAATCTGAGAGATGTGTAATTATATCTCATTGTTGTTTTAAAGTTCATTTTCCTGCTTACTAGTGAGGCTGAACATTTTTCATATATATTATTAAGCATTCAGGCTTAAATTTTTTGTGAAGTGCCTGTTCAAATCTTTTGCCCATATTTTGTGTTGTCTGCTTTTTTATCATTGATTCGTAGAGTTCCTTACATATTCTACATGCTAGCCTTTTGCTGGTTGGTTATATGAGTCATAAATACCCTCTTGTTTTATGGCTTGCCTTATTCTTTTTTTATGGAATCCTTTGAAAATGGAAAAAAAAAAGGAAAACGAAAGTTCTTAATTTTAATGTAGTTGGGTTGGGTTGTTAGTTTTTTCCTTTAATGGCCAGTGCATTTTGTGTTATGAAGACATTTTCCTATATTATCTCATAAAAGGTTTATAGTTTTGTTTTTTCACATTTGGGTCTTTGTGCACGATGTGAATCCTATTAAGTTATTTTTCATTTGAATAGTCAATTATTCCAGCATTGTTTATCAGAAAGCCCCTGTCCACCCTGCTGCTATGCTCTGCCACCCATGTGTCGAACATCAAGTGTTCATCTGTTTAAGGGGCCTGCTTCTCTGCTGTTCCGTTCTTTGCCCTATTTGCCTGGCCCTGTGCAACATCACACTGCTTGGCTTAATATAGCTTTATTACACATCTTGGTATCTGGTTAAGCAAATCCTCCCATGTTCTTTAAGAGTGTCTTGGCAATTCTTGACTTTTTGTATTTTCCATATAAGTTTTAGAACGAGCTTGTCAGATTCCACAAATGAAACACCTCTCCTTGCCCCTGCCTCACCCCCAAAACACCTGCTGAAATTCGGATAGGAATTGAACTGAATTTGTAATTTAATTTAGGGAGAACTCACGTCTTTACAATTTTTAGCCTTCCAATCCACAAGCATGGTATATCTTTCCATTTGTTTAGATCTTCTTAAATATTCCTAAATAAAGTTTTACAGTTTTTCTTATAGAGAGCCTAAACATCTTTTCTAACTTATTCCCATTCCTCCTATAAATGGCATTTAAAAAATACTTTTTATTGTTTGTTGCTAATATATAGAGGTATGATTTAGGCATCCTGGATGCATATCTAGTAACCTTGCTAAACTCTCTTATTCTAGTATCTGTAGTCTTTTGAATTTTCTGTGTCCAAAATATACCATCTGAAAATACTGACAAATTTACCGTATTTTCAGTCCCTCTGCCTTTTGTTTTTCTTGTTGCACCACTGAAGACCTCTAGCATGATGCCGAATAGAGGTGGTGTTAGCGGGCCTCCTTGCCTTATTGCAACTATCAGAGGAAAAGCTTTTGAGTGTCACTATTATATACGATGTCTGCTGCAAGTTTTCTGTAGATATCCTTTTGCAGTTGTGGCAGAGACAATGCCATGTGTCCATTAAAACTCTTTTTTCCCCCCCTTTCTGGGCACACTGGTAGCTAATATATCTGTTCTTCTTGAAGTTAGGTTTATGTGATCTCACTGAGCTGTAGTCAACGGGATGTGGTGAAAGTGATGTACGGCCCATCTAGACTTGGCCATAAAGACTCTTGCTGACCCTCCTACTCTTCTATAGTGAGTCTGAAAGCTATAATTCAGGAAGCAAAGCCATGGGTGGGGCCTACTAGGATTCCTGAGACACAGCTGGGCAGGGAATTGCCCTGTGGCTCTTCAGGATCTACATGGGGATTTATCTGATGAGAGAGAAACGTTCTGTAATGTGCTAAGCTCTTAAAATTGGGGGATTTGTTATGGTAGACTAACCTGGTCTATCCTGACAAATAGGTTACTTTAAGACACATTCCCGGCTATTCCCCATTTAAGAGCTTTTGTCATAAAGGAATCTTATCAAACGTTTTCTCTGCCAACTCTTGAAATGACGGTGTGATTTTTATGTGATTTTTGACTACTTGTGGGTCAAGGCCCCTGACGAATCATTTGTTGGGGGGCTTCCCCGTGCATCAGATAGATATGCCCTCCTCCAGAGAAGCTTCATGTTTCTGTTTCCCAGGTCCCTGGAGTTATTAAAAGTCACGGATGACCTTAAATGAAGTTGTTGACTTAAGCTTCCTGGACTAATTCAGGCAAAGGGCTGCAAATCTGAGCAAAGGCTGATGTGAGGCCATTTCTTCCTATTGGTATCTCATTTGCCTTTTTCTTCTTCAGCTTGCCTTAGTACCAAGCCTTGGACTTGTTTCTTTGTTGGCTTGTATGGCCACTGATTCAAAGCTTCGGTGAGCCGCACTGGCAAGAGCCCACAGGGCCATCAGTGGCTCTGATGTTCTAATAGCCTGCTTACTTACCGCCCTGGTTACAGGTGTTTGTCTCTCAGCTGGTCTTGAGACATCCCCACTTTTTGGCTTTAACAGTGAGATCTGAAAAATGTTCTACCTACCATTTATTTTTGTTTTTAGTGGGAGAGTTGATCCAAAGAAGACACCACCCCCCTCCCCAACATACACACACCTGCCCAGAAGCTGAGAGTTCTCTGATGCCTTTTTCCAGTCCTGGTAAGCCTGGCTGCCTTGGGCCCCTCCTTCCTGGAGGTGGAGGCATCCACTGTACCAGGGGGATGACAGAACTAGCTGAGACTAAGGAAAGGACATTCATCTTTCAACTTCCAGAAACTGGTTCCTAAAACTCATTTCAGAGGAATACTGGTGAAGGTTAGAATCAGGGTTTGTTCAGAAAGATTTATCTAAGTTTTAAAAGTCACCCTAAAAAATACCAAGAATCAGAGTCTAGGGAGTGAGAGCACACAGTTTTACTAAACTCCACAGAGTAGTAAGGAGAGAATATGGAAATGGAAAGGAAAAGCCCCTTCTGGGAGCTGGGCTGGGGTGGGTGGAGGAATCAGCAGCAGGCATAAGGAGGACCCTGGTAGGAAAGTTTTGTGGTGACCAAGCATTTAGACCCAAATCGAGACCTGCTCCCTACACCCTCTTACCCTTTGGAGACAAAGCCTTGTGTTGTGTTGGGTGAGGGAGGGCATAGTTAAGAGGCTTAGTTAGTTTTGGGAACCGCAGAGCAGGCGGCTGGTGTTTTGCTTCCCACTTGGAGTTCTAGGAGGAGACCATCTTGCTCTGTGCCGGTAGAGCATCAGTGCAGTAGAAACGGCAGTGTGGCATGCACGGGCAGAGAGGCCTTCAGGAAACATCCCCTCCCCTGCCTTCAGCGGGGCATGGCAGACATCCATAGAAATCCCCAAGGCTCCTTGAGAGGAGGAGTGAAAGATGCTGAGGATGAACAGTCAGCTGGGCTACTTTGGGGATGGGTTGGGGTGGTGGTCGGTAGGGGGTACAGGGTGTGCAGGGCAAAGCCAAGGACCGTGGTGGTGTTAGAACCAGGGAGAGCCCAGGCCTGGGCCCAGACAGCAGTGGTGGTGCCTTAGCCAGGAGAGGCTGGGGGCACTTCGGTAGTGGAGGCAGAGAGGATAGAGGCCA